TACCGCAGGATTATTATTTTATGAGATATATGGGACCACGGTTTGTGTATGAATATACAGGGTGTTCCAAGAACAGATGTCAATACTGCAGGAAGTTATACTTCTTCTCAAATTAAATTAAAAAAATTGTCGATTATGTACGAGATAATCACATTCAGGGCACTAACGAGAATGCAATCTATTTAAAAAAAAAGATGATTTCATAACGTTTAATTTTCGAAATATTATTTCCGGCCGGGAGGGCCACAATTTGTGTGGGAAAATCTAGTTTAACAAAATAATTAAAAGCTTAAAACCAACGGGCTTTATTATTTTTGCTCTTTGCCGATCAAGTAGGTCACCATCGTAACATATTCGTTCATCTTTTCCACGACAATCTAAATTACAAGGAAACAGGATAGATTTTGTAATAGCATCTATTATAGAGGCATGTATCCGGCCCGGAGGACCAAAATCTCTGTGTACACGGTGTTCTCTATGTTAGATAAATTGTATTTTTAAAAACAATCAATCACCACATAGAAAATTGAAACCATGAACTTATTTTTGTCATATAGAATAAATCAGTCGCCACATACAAGCCGAGAGAAACAATAGAGAGTTTTTTAATGTAGATCTTATGCTAAAAAGATACTGCTTTCATTTTTTCTCTCTCGATTATGTAATTTTTGTGGAAGTATTGCTTTATTTAAAACCCCGTAAAAAACCTTAAAGTAGAGATTATCTTAAAAAAATATTGTTTACATTTTTTAGATTATTTAATTTTTGAGCGAACGAGAGTGACTGCACTTGGTACCCGTACAATAGATAAAGTTTTCCTTTAAAAACATGCGATTACCACACAAAATAAAACAATTACAACAGAAAGAACGTAAATACCTGACAAGAAAAATTACGACAGTAAGGAAACAAAATTATATTTTATTCGCAGAGAATAGAAGCGATAAATCTGTAAGGAAAATGGACTGAATAGATAGATATATTCGGAAACTTGAAATGGAAATGGTCTGAACATATCGTGGGATATGCCGTAATTCAGAAACATTTTCAGATTTATTTGTTGTAAATCTTAACGAATAAAAAATGGGGGTCCAGGAAATTATTATCACACAAGTAAAATATATGTGTAAAATTAAGGACAAGATTTGAATAATTATTATATTTTGTTACCTTAGCTGCTTTTAAATAGATCTACTATTTATAATAAAATTATATTTATTTAAATAGTTTTATAAAAAATGAAAGTATACTATATTGTACTCATTAATAAATTTTTAGTTTAAATTCAACCTAAAATAAATAAGGACGTATATTTCGACCGTTTTCGATAAGGCGGGGTTAGAAAATAACAAGGGCCCTGGTAAAATTTCCAATAAAATTGATCAGATTGAGCAAATGATTTTAGGAAAAAAAGACCTCAATTTCTTTTTATTGGCCTCTTCAACCTGAATACCTTATTCCAAGAGCCAAATTATTGAAGCTTTCTGAGGACCGATCCCTCAGAAATTGGAACGTGTACTCTTAAGCAGGTACTCGACTTTTTTTAACGTACAACCCCAGAAAATTGGCTCAACCTTAGGGACAAATGCCGGATTAATTCATTTAGAAGAGACAGCAATAATAGGATAATTCATTTTTGAAGTATAAATTTAAAACTAAAAAAAATATAAAACTACTTCACCTGTTGTAGTTTATTTTAAGGTATGCTTAAATTAAAATTTTAATCAGTGTTTTTTAACACTTATGTATAAGTTTACAATTCGTAGCTGTACATTTTTGACTTATTGCCGTCAACAATAAAGAGATAATCAATTATTTTTAAACACTTTATCTTCTATACTGGGTGTAATCTGTAACCCCTTGCTTTCTAAAAAAATCCCTACCGTAGAAAAAAATGAAAACAGAATGTTTTTAGTATAAGCTCTACATTCAAAAGAGTTTACAATTTTTTGTAGCAAAATTTTTACTGTTGTCTATTTTCTATGTGATAATCAATTGTTTTTAATAGTACACTTTAACTTGATCAAATTTATCAACTATATTGGGTCAATTTCTGTCCTGGTTTTCGCAAAAATTTCTTTACCAAAAAATACAAAAATTACCTTTTTATCATAGATTCAGCATTAAAAAAGATCTATAATGTTGTAAAGTTTTTTCAAATCTTTTTTATTAAATCAAGTTTCTTTGTAGCGACTGTTTTATTACTTAGTGTGACAGAAATGTGGTCGGGTTTTTGAGTGGTTGTAAATTTGTAAAGTTACGCTTATCAACTCCAGCCAACCTGGTTTTTTCAAAAATTTCTTAACCGAGAAAAAAACCCTATCTTTTTAGCATAAGCTCTGTTTAAAAAAAATAAAATTGTAATATTTTTGTCAGGTTTTTACGGTTTTTCTTAATTAAACAAGGGTTTTTTTGTTGATTTTGAGTAACAGAAATGAATTAATGGTGACAATTTTCTAAGTGGTAATCGATTATTTTTAAAGATAAACTTTATCTAATAAACAGGGTATATACTTATGTGACCCCTAGCTTTCTCAAAAATTAAATAATGAAAGCAGTTTTTTGCATAAGCTCCACTTTAAAAATCGCTACATTGTGTCTGTCATGTTTCTTTGTGGCGACTGTTTTATTTGGTGTTACGAAAAATAACTGTTCGGTTTTAATTTTCTATGTAGTGATCGATTGTTTTTAAAGATGCAATTTATAACTGTAGAGGGCACCTATACGCACATATAAGTTTAGGTCCTCCGGGCCGGATACGTGACTCTCTAATACAACGTATTAAAAACTCTATCTTGCTTTCTTATAATTCAGATTGTCGTGTGAAAGATAAAAAACACGAAAACACATAATATACCATAGTGTACTTGATCAGCGAAGAGCAAAAATAATAAAAACTGTATGTTTTAATTTTTTAATTCTAACTTTTTAAAACACTAGATTCCAACATCGTTGGCATCCTGAAAGTGAAATATCTTGAATACAATTAAAAATCAGGCTTTGGACAATAGGAAATTTTTAGTTGAATAGGATAACAGTAGTATAACCTCCTGAAGTATCTTTGGCCTACTTGATCGGTAAAGAGCTAAAATAATAAAGGCTGTTGGTTTTAACCTTTTAATTCTAACTTTTCAAATTAGATTGCTTTCTCCTTAGTACCCTGAATGTGAATATCTCGAATATAATCAACAATTTTTTAAAATTTAATTTGGGAAGAACTTCCTGAAGTACTGACATCTATTCATGGAATACGCTGTATATTCACACATAAATTGAGGTCCTCCGGGCCGGATATAATATTTATCTATATATATTTTTTTAATGGCTTTATGTTCTATGCATATTAGCCAATGAAAATGCTATACGTATTCGTTTTCGGGGGTGGAAGGGTATCGTGAAAAAAAAGGCCAGAGGCGACGGCGGGAATTGAACCCGCGACCGCGGGGTCTACGAGCCGAGAGTCTCTCACGCTACTCGGCCCCATAAAATTAAACGTTATGAAAAAATATCTTTTGATTAAAGTATCACGTAACTCATAAAATATTAATCCTACTGTAAAGAGATAAATAAACATGAAAACACATAATATATCATGGCGACCTACTTGATCGGCAAAGAGAAAAAAATAAATAAAATAAAAACTGTAGGTTTAATCTTTTAATTCTAACTTTTTATAACATTAGATTCTATTATCGTTAATATCCTGAAAGTGAAATACCTCGAATATAATTCATGGAATACCTTTTGTATACATACATAAATGTTGGTCCTCCGGGCCGGATATAATATTTAGAAAATTAAAGTTATGAATTAATGTAGGTTGATTAAAGTCCCGCGTATTAATCTGTATTATATATATTGTGTAATAAATAGCAAATTAATCGTTATTAATTGATATCGTTATTGTTTAAAGTTCAGCGTATTTCCTAACACATTAAGCCTACTGTATATGTGATTATTTAAATAGAAAATGCAAAGAAAATCTTATGACATTCATTTTTTTTTATTGTGACATTAAGCAAACGAAATACGATATCAATCAGAACGTAAAGTTTTATGAGTTTTTGGGCAGCAGTAATCGGCTTTTTCAAAATGCCTAATACAGCCAAAGCGATATGCTATTTTTAAGTTTTAAGTAGAGTGTTATTTCAGTGGGCCTTGTAGTACAGTTGTGTATATATCAATATAATGTTTTGAAAATAACAAAATTCTGGAAAATAAAGAACGTGCGGTTAATCGTGAGTTTACTGTTTAGAGTTTATCATTTCGCGAACGATCTGGATCAATAGGAATAAAGCATGAGACTTATAAGCCGTTAAACCCTCGGTCTTACCAAAGTCCTACGTGATAGTTCGACAAAGCACGTGTCAAAAAGGTGTGAAATTCTCAATAAGCACAACAGGACTTTTTCAGGATTTTGTTGGAAAGTCGGCGACTTTAGCCCGGGCAAAAATTGTCTTGTTTACAGGGGTTGACGCAATAAAATGTTAACAAAAGAATTACGTTCGAGTTTGAAGAGGCCAATTAGCCGGAGCTTTTCCCAGGTTCCTTTTCAAAATCCGTATTTTAGAGGTGTGCTGGTAAAAGCAAACAGAACATCGGCCCTGTGTACTAAGCATACGCCATTAAGGTGTGAATAACGCAATTATAAGCTTTTAAGCTGTGGTCTTTTTGTAAGTAAGCGGATAATCAAGAAGGGGACAAAAGGGCCGTCCTGGTCCTACACCTCTCTTTTATTATTTATGAGGTTGGAGTCGGGTCGGGGTCTTGTAAAGGATGTTTCGGGTGGTAATATGGTGGCTTAGGGCTGGGGAGGCTTAGCCAATCTACCACCCGCTATCTCCTACCCGTGTCGCCTGAGCAGTATATCTCCGTGACGCACTCCCTTGCATTTCTAATTCCCGCAGCGCACATCCGCCGTTTCCTTCTGGGACAATTTTACGATTTGTTAAACGATAACGGGTAAAGGTGTGTCCCACGCGCTGAATACCATCACTCACCTCTGGTCTCCTTTTTGGAAATGAATTTCTTCGAAGAGAATCCTCACACGTTCTCTCGGCCTGAAAAAGAGAGGAAATAACATTATTGGTTCATGCGAAACGATTTACCACATATAGAATATATTTTTCGGCAAAAATATATTCCTTATCATAAAAAATCTCTTTGAAATGATAACTCGCACATGGCGCATGAGCCGTAATGACACTAGACGTTAAATACTTTTTAAAAGGATAGTTCCTACTCACAGTAAGTTGTTTTGCAACGATCCGGATTTCGAGCCTTTTTGCTCATCATCAGGTTGAAGGACTTCTACAGCCACGTCTCTCGACATGAATTGCTGAAGTGAAACCGCTGATACCTCCGCCCACGCGACGTTCCAATTAGCAGCTGATTTTTTTAACAATGCTCAATTCGAACGTGCGAAACGCGGAAATTATAACACAAATAAATATTAGAATAATAAATACTTAATATTACTATAAATTACTATAAAAATAATAACAATTAAAATAATTTTTTGGATGTTTGATATTGTATTTCATGCATTTATATACATATTTCAAATGGATATGGTAGCAGTAGACGATATTTTATGCATATGGTAGGGTACATTAGAAGCTCTCAAAGAATTCCTACAACTAATTAATTCTCTACACCGTAATATAAATTTTACATTGGAAATTGGCAAAGATGGCCGTTTGAACTTTTTATATCTAAAACTGTCCATAATAAACAACCTAAGAGAAATAGACGTATATAGAAAACCCTCAACTACAGACACTATGATACCAGCGGATTCTTCCCATCCATGGTCCCAAAAGGCTGCTGGTTTCATTTGGCTCGTAGACCGGATGTTAAAACCTCCGCTAATACCTGATAACTATAAAACATAATTAAAAACTATTAAAACCTTAGCAAAAAACAACGGGTATCAAGAAATATTTATTGATAGGTTGCTAGTAAAAAGAATAAAAAAATTAACTTTAAACGAATCAACAATAGGACTCAGCCACCCCACCACAAATGAATCAGTAGGTTTCCGTTGTTTGCCATACATTGGTGAATTATCGGAAAAAGTTAGTAAAATTTTTAAACAAGAAGGTTTTAGAATAGCTTTTAGAAGTACGGGTTCACTTAAAAACACCCTCTCAAAACCTAAAGACAAAGTAGACAACTTGGCAAAAAGCGGGGTTTACCAACTCAATTGTAATGATTGTGATATTAAATATATAGCACAAAACGGTAGAGAAATAAAAACAAGAGTAAAAGAACACTTGCCTAAATCGAGGAAATTTTCGAAATTTAAGGAGTAAAAGAAACAAAACATAATTTCAATTCAAATTGAAAGACAAGAGTGTTACCTATTTCAACAAAGGGAAAGAACTAGATTGGTTTGAGAAATTTGAAATTAAAAAATGTAAAATTGAACATGGTGATAAATGCATTAATAATATAACAGATTTTGATTTACCTCCCATTTTCAATCTGTACATAAATAATATCAAACATCCAAATAATTAAACTAATTATTTTAATTGTTATTATTTTTATAGTAATTTATAGTAATATTAAGTATTTATTATTCTAATATTTATTTGTGTTATAATTTCCGCGTTTCGCACGTTCAAATTGAGCATCATTAAAAAAATCAGCTGATAATTGGAAAGTCGCGTTGGTGCAGTTATCAGCGGTTTCACTTTGGGAATTCATGTCGAGAAACGTGGTTGTAGAAGTCCTTCAAGCTGATGATGAGCGAAAAGGCTCGAAATCCGGATCGTTGCAAAACAACTTACTGTGAGTAGGAACTATCCTTTTAAAAAGTATTGAACACCACACTCACTCCATTATTTATCATTTCTACTAGACGTTAAATTTAAGCATTCATACCCTTCTAATCTAAAACATGAACGAACAATTTAATCAATGATCATGGAAATAATGGAGTGTAAATTTATTTTCGTGATACAGAAAACAACACAGATTGTAAAATTGAACATGGTAATAAATGCATTAATAATATAACAGATTTTGATCTACCTCCCATTTTAAATATGAACATCAATAATATAAAACGTCCAAATAATTAAATTAATTATTCTAATTGTTATTATTTTTATAATAATTTAATAATATTAATGTATTATTCTAATTGTTTATCTTTTATCTTTAATCACTAATTTATAATTAATTTCTTACGGTATTTACTATTATAATATTTATTTGTGTTATAATTCCCGCTTTTCGCACGTTCAAATTGAGCGCCATTAAAAAACCAGCTTCTCATTGGTACGTCGCGTTGGCGGGGGTAGCGGCGGGTTCATTTTTGCAATTCATGTCGAGAGACGTGGTTGTAGAAATCCTTCAACCTGATGATGAGCTAAAGGGCATGAAATCCGAATCCTTGCGAAACAACTTACTGTGAGTAGGAGCTATCTTTTTAAAAAGGATTGAGGTTTGTCACCTATGGGTCGCCTACGGACACGTTTAGAAGGACAAAATGCCCCTTCCTTCACGGAAGGTTGGTCAATCAAATTTCGGGCTAATGCACTCGGCTCCTGATCTCTGCAGCGGACTGATCCTAGCTTCTCTAACTGGTTAAACCGTAAGTGCTTTTGGTCTCCACCGATTAAGCTCCTCCGTTCGCTCAATTATCAATTATTAATTATTAATTGCCACAAGAAAGTTTGAGGCCTATTTATTTTTAGTTTGTATCAATTTTACCATTGAGTTAATCAATTTATTTTTGGTCAAGAAGGTTTTGTTTTACTTTTGCTTTTCATTTTACTTTTCTTTAATTCCCCCACGCTTTCATCAAAGCGCACTCTGCTGATTTCGCTGTACGTGGGCTTTGGAATCTGCGAGCCATTTCCCGGACTTAAGGTAAGTTTAGGTAACCGAAGTCCGTCGCAGGATAGAGCAAAACTGACAGGTTCTTTGATTTTATAGACGCTTGTATAGATTTTTTCTAGTTTGGGAGAAATGGGATTTGTTCTATTGCGAATTAAAGCGACTGGATTTTTTTGTAGGTTGGAACGCTTGGTTCATTTCCACAGTTCGATTCACACCAGTTTGAAGAAATGATATGCAGAAGGCACTTGTTTTTTAGTGAGTTTCGATCTTTTCTCAAATTGTTTGGAAAGTTCATATCATCTATCGAGACCCAGTAGGAAGTCCCGAATTGGTTTCAGGTAGAACAACATAGCTTTACTTGATTGGAGGTGAATCACTGGAGGATGAAGGTTATTTGCTGCAATTTGGTTTAGTCGAGCATGATCCTCATTTTTTGAACCACTATTTAATCAGTACAGATAGCCTTGGAGTTTCTCAAGAACACTACTGGTTCTGTTTGCCGAGAAGACAGCGGATCGATAGGAATATCTGAAGTGTATACGGAAAAGAGAATGGGACAAAAGGTGCTGCCTTGCGGAACACCCACTTTGGAGTAATGGATGTATCTGATACCTACATGTCCGATAGTGGTAATTAGTAGGTGGAAGGTGCTCTTGAGTTTTTAGAGCAGCCCGAATCGGATCAAAGCTTAACTTAACGTCCAATAAAGCACCCAAGCAGCACTGTCTCGCCCAACCGGGCTTTCTATGGCATTGCTGAACGGTAGAATGACGTGACGGAATAACTCTGGACTTTTCACAAATAGTATTTTTAAGGTTTTTTCCATGTATTGTCATCAAACTGATACAGCATGGCATAGGGAGATGCTGACGTTTTTAAAGTTTAGGAATGGGTTTTATGATTGATGATTTCCATTGAAATGGGAAAGTAGTTAGTTTTAAGGAATGCGTTGTAACAAATTGCAATGAAAATTATAGAAGTTTTTATAAGATTTCGTATGTTTCTGGTATAGATGTCAAAACCTGAGATGGTTTTACCTCGATTGCAGGGTTTATTGGATAGAGGAAGTGGTAATAGGCTGCCTCGTTCCTGTTGAATGTGTTCCGATATTGGTCTCGACTAGTGGGTCGACCAAGGCTAAAGGACCCATTGTTATCGAGGTACTCTTTGTATATTGATCCTTAAATCGTAAGAATATATATAACTTTTCTCATCTATTTTCTCCATTTTCAACCCTAGTCCCTCCCAGGACACAGGAAGGGTTACAATACTATCTTTCTGTGATCTATATTGAAAGGCTCTATTATTAAATGCTTGCAATTGTTATAATTTTTATTTTATGTTGTTTACTGGATATTGTGAAAAAATAAGATATAGCAAAATAATTAAACTGAGTATTTTTTAATGTTGCGTTTGTTAAAATTTTTTTATTCTTGGCTTTACTTTTTCTTTATGAAGCACTTCAGTCGAGGTAGCGTCTTACGTATCCAACAGAAACCCTTCTGGATTTTGAATTGGAGATTTTATTATGAATAAAAACATTCATTTACTAACTGTCTGTTTTTTTGCCTTCTCTCGCCCTTTCCCCTGAGTTCTATAGCGCGTTGTAAATTTCATCGTCGACGTATCGAGAGAGCCGGAAAAAGAAAAATACCGCCTTGAAACATCCTGATCAAAAATTCTAACGGTATCTATAATTGTGTCGAATAAATTCCTTTTAACCGGGTGTAATTTATTCAATTATTCAAGTATTCAAGAAAAGACAATTTTAGTGCCATATTATTTTCTAGACTAAATTTAACCTACTTCATTAAAATTTGCACAAATCCTTACTTTTATGTTGAAGAATGATATTATAGACTCATTAAATTATTTTTTAAACATTTTAAAAAAAGGTTTTTTACGAATTATTCAGAAATCGTCAGATGCGGTCTGGTGTGATGTAGGTTTCAGAAAACCATTTTCTTTATCGTGCCAACGTTTCGATCTTTATTGAGATCATCTTCAGGACACGCACACTCTCAACACGACAGGCAAGAATGGCACATTTACGCAGAAAAGAAACATTTTGAGTGAGTAGAAATACTTTCGTTGAATATAAAACAAAAATTCGGCGACATTATGTTGCCATCATCAGAGCCTATTTATTAAGAAAAAATATACATAATTAATATAAATTTAACAATCAACAATTAAAACAATAATGCAT